ATAGGTGTTTGAATTATTTGAACTGTTGGTGCGAAGAAAAACACAAAATAGTTTAATGTTTAAGTAGTGTGTTGTGCATATTCCTAAGTTTATGGTTTAACAGCCGGGAAATTATATTTGAAACTACAAATTATTTAAAATATGAATATGGATGTATCATCCAATTTATTAGTTTTGAGGAAATTAATTCTTAACAATAAGATCTTTGGAATTCTAGGACAGTGTGTGGAACATCACTAGTATAAACAGTCAGCTAATTAGATATACTATTGCAAACATGTATGAGTTATTAATTTGGGAGAATTTCTGAAATATAACATTTAAATTCATTAGACCTCTTCACAATGATCATTCGATTTTGAAAGTTTCTGGTGACTGCAAATAAGTTTATTTGGAAAACAACCAATGTCTAACAAATGTTATAATGGAACAATATGCATGTATTTATTATATATAAGGTGTAATATAGTACACTTTTTTATTAATACTTAATATATCATAAATTTGAAAATACATTTTCACAGAAATCCTCAAAATAAAGTTAGATGTTGAAGTTTTTTGGTGTGTAATTAGATTTATTTGAATTTTGTGAAAATGCAGAAAACTGAAGCTTCACTATTGATTTAAGATATTCACAGGTAATAAGATTGCTAAAATTGCACAGATGTCTCTAATGGCTGCTTTGTGTGAAAGATCAGGGTTTGAATCACAAGCAAGAAATGCACCTTTTTGCTTTGTGATTGTGCCATGATAATCCAAGAACTTGAGTCATACCTCATAAAATTAATTAAATTGTCATTTATTATTCAATAATTTGCCAGATAAGCTAAATATCAGTTCCCAAGACATGACTATCAAGATAGACAACACAATAAAATGTTATTGTTGGTGGAAAAAGTTAAGTATTTATTACCGAATTTTTCTTCTTTGATTTTATATATTACATTTTTTTAGAAATATGCATTGAGATGAAGTGAATTTTAAACACTGATAAAATTTCAAGTTAAGGATAATCATTGGCACATTTAAAGGAAAAATAAAAATAATAAAGAAATGAAGATAAATTAGAAAGTCAATTTTGCAGAAAAATATTTACCTTGGTTTACTTGTGATACTAAAAGTTGAAGGAGATATATTTACGTAATGCAATTTACTTCTGTTTGGGAGCATAGTACATTTGAGTAGCTGAAAAATGCTTATGTGTGCTAAATGATTAAAGAAGTCCACTTTATATGCTTTCTGAATTAATTCAAAGTTCAACAATAATTAATTAATAATTAATTTAGTCTTGATCACCTACAAAATATTGATGGTGAACAAAAAGAACCATTTTCAAAAAAATGTATTTAAATTTTACTCTACAGTCCAATTATAAACTGCAACTGCTAAAACGGACATGTAATTTCTAATAAACTTAAATTAATTTATAATGTAATTAAATGAAATTAATTATAAATAGTAGTTATAATTTCATAAATTTTAATTTAAAGTTTTCGAGTTTATTCTTATTGGATTCACGAGAATTTTAAGATACTTCACACATAAATAAAAGAGCAAGGGATAAAAAATAAACTCATTTTCTTTTCAAGAATAGAAGCCAGAATTTATAAGATTTTGAAAAATATTTTGAAATTGCTACACTCTGTACAGAAAAGTACAAAAACTGTACAAAACGCTACAGAAAGTAGCAATTTCAAAATACATATGAAAATGTAGGTTTTTTGCATTTCAACATGATCACATGCAAGGTATAAAATGGTATTATATTAAGGAACTTGATATATTAATAATATATTAAGGATATTGATAGGACTTCTAGTTTTAGAAATCCCAACATAGTTTCCACCTAAGGAGCAGTAAACAGAAAAATAATAAAACAAAAAATATATGTAAAAACTATGTATTACACATAACAAGAACAACAGCTTTTACAGACACAATCCTGTGTTTCAGTTACTCATTCATACACAAATGTATTTCATACAAAATAATACAAGGATGTCAATGAACAACACATCTTTGGAATGAAGTAATAAAAATGCACTAAGGAGTTGTGCTGAAAGTAGCATTCACAAGGATTTTTTTCAGCAGACGTCAGTCTACTGTTTATCCACTTAAATCTTTAAACCTCAAACACACAAGCACACACAGACACATCATTACATTTAAGCTTCAAACATTCATTCATTTGCCCACAGACTAAGGGCAAGCGTTGCATTGAAAAATTTGGTCTACAGCAGTCTGTCAATATCAATACTGTTGTGACATTCTGAAAATAGTTTACCCTCCCACTCTGTGAAGAAGTGACTTAAGAAAAAGCTGGAAGACTTTTATACAAACTTACTCAAAGTACTGAAAATTTACATTCGGTTGATTATGTAGAATTCGGTGATATGATACTATACATTACTATGGAATACATTGAAAATATATGTTAAAATAAGTGAATTCATAGATAGGGCTTGTTGACCAATGTTTACCTCAAGCATCATAGTTCAACTTCATCAGTCTTCATTACTATGTTTGTTAGGTAGTTTAAATGCTCTTAGAATCAACTTTACTGTTTTGCTTCTTATTCCAGATATTAACAGACTTGAAATTTCTAAGGAGCAACCAGACAGAATAGCTGATCACATAAATTCACAGGAATAAATGCTTATGTCTATACATTATAAATTATATATGTACTTGACAGCAGTGTTCTCAAACTCTGAACACAACAATGAATATTAACACAATTGCAATGAAAATGAATGTGTTCAAGGTGAAATGAAAACATACATGTGAATATACACATTCATATAAATAAATGAATATTAACATTTGGGAAATGAATATCAAAAACACAATTAACTACTATGAAACAATCAGTGATCTTGCACCATTGCACCATTTAAGATGTTAAGTCACAAATCCACATTCTTCCAGTAAATTAAATAAGATGTCCCAACAAACACATCTCTTGTCTATTCACAAAACAAATTCAGGCAATTTGGGTTATGAGTGGCAATAACAGTACAAATCAACCTAGAGCCCAGTCAGAGAAAGCACAGGACTAAGAAAACTTTTTTACTTTTATCATTTGTTTGAGGTGTACAGATCTTATATAACTTTTCATAAATCGAATATTTTCTACCAGCCTCTTTGAGTCTATCAAAAAGAAGGTACAGATTAAGAATTGTTTTAATCAATATCAAATTTTATAACTATTTTAAAACAATTTACAAAAAATCTCTATATGAAATTATATTTCATTTTTTTTGGCAATTTCAAGATTTAAATTTTTTAAATAACATTTCAATTTCAAATTAATAATATAGTGTTAAATATAACTTGTTTGTTTACAATTTACAAATGATGGATAAGTGATCCAAAGGAACTGGATCACTTATGTAACTGGAACACCTATGTAACTAGTAGTATGCTTTGTGATTCATTAGAGTATACCATTCATAAAGTTTCTTTTGCATTTTATCGATTTTGCTTAAACACTTATTTAAATATTATCCAACAACAGGTTTTTGTACTATAATACAATAACGGTTAGAAATTTTTAAATGTTTTTCTACATTAATTTTTATTTCTAAAAAAGTTATGACTGTAACAGCTCTCTTGGTTACAGGCTCATGGGCCAATGCTTAAGTTGCTTTATTTTTTATCATTGTTCTCATAACTCAAAACAAAAGAAAAATACTTTTGTATAAAATCAGGGATATACTCTGAAAAGGCTTTTTTCTTTTCTCCAATTGGCTAATACAACGGGCATCATCTAGAGTATATATTCATGAAAAATTTCCGAATTACCCTATGTGTACTTTGGGTAATTAAGAAGAGACTGTCGAAATAACAGAGAGAAATACTGAAAAGAGGAAAGGGGAAGAAATACTTAATGATATAAATAACAAAAAGGAAGGGTGAGGGAGAGAGCAGAAAAAAAACAGATTTAATCGGCATACAACAATATGTGAAGAAGAAGATGATGATGAAAGAGAAGATGAGAAAGGTGGAGGTGAAAAAGAAGCTCAAGAAGTAAAAAACGAAAATGAGTTCTGATTACACCGTTTGGCTAACTTGAATATCGAAATTTCTAGGTAGAGGGATGCTCTTTGAACTTGTGTCTGTCATTTCTCACCAGAGTCACGAGCAGTGACAATTCCAGCAAGAAACCAACGAGTGCTCATCGCCGGGTTTGGTGTTTTCGTATCTGACTTTGTCAGTGGCGTCGCGTGAGGAGAGACGAAGTAGACATAGTCTACCTGTTGGAGAGAAATGCAAGTGACATTACTATATTCTTCTGCAATGCTGAATCTATTTTCAAAGCGGAAGTCGTCGAACTGAGCAAGTGCTCTACCAAACCGGAGTGAAGAAGCTTAAGTGAGAAGTCTGAGGACGGACTAACTTGGTTCACTGAAAGGAATTTCCATGGGTGCCTCACAGCACATCCTAAGTGAAAAGCCCTACGACGAAAACATATGTCTTTCTCGCCTGGGAGCATTTCAGTACGCCACGAATCACTGTTGATTCTTAGCACTTAAATTAAACATGTTTTGCGTAATTAAATTCGGAGATTTGACGTGATTTAAGGCCTCAATGATAACTATTTGGAGACGACCTCTCCAAAACATCCCTTCTCTCGTGCCGTGGAGTCCTCGTTTGTATTGTCACGCTACGCGACTCGTCCTTGGGCTTCCTCAGCTGGATTGCTCCCCAACCCTGACTTGCACTGCCACCGCCGTGTGGAGCAAAGCGTTAGGTTGCTGGTGACCTCCATTTCGGCTACATCACCATCTGAAGTGAAAACCAAAGACGCTGGTGGAGACGGAGATCTGTTCCTTCGCCGCCACAGCTATCCAGAGCCAAGAGTTCAGCCGCGGTCTGCTCTTGAATTTGTGAAGAATGAGTTCAGCCACCGGCGGAGTCAGCGGTGTGAACTTCCCCCGGAGCGAAGAGTCGAGGCGCCACGCCGGCGGAGTGGAGACGGAGCGGGCATTGCCAGCGTCTCAGACGCCGGTGGAGTCGGAGGCGGTGGTGTCGGCGGTCTGCATGCCCAGGCCCATGCCCAGGCCCAGGCCGGCGGGGCCCTGCGGCGCGGGCGGCGGCGAGGGCGGCAGGTCGCCCGCCAGCAGCAGGCGGTCCAGGTCGACGCCGGCGTCAGCCGCCTCCACCAGCGCGCCCAGCTCGCGCTTCAGCTCGGAGAAGTCGGGGCGGCGCTGCGGGTCGGCGGCCCAGCAGCGCGCCATCACGCGGTACAGCTGCGGGCGGCAGTGCGCGGGCCGCTCCAGGCGGCCGCCGGCCCGCACGCGCCGCACCACCTCGCGCGCGCCCAGCCCCGGGTACGGCGTCGACCCTGCGCGCACACACACACACGATCAGCACGCGCCTTCCATAGCTCACATAACCAGTTAAAGCGAGCGATTTGGGCCATGTTCATTGATTGATTGGTGCTTCCAGGCGTGACAAGGGCTAAGGTTATTAGATCCGTAAGTGTAGTGCATGTTTTATCGCAGTCATCTTCTCCAGTTGGAAGGCGAGATCCGATGCTGACCTACACGTCAACTTTGTTTTCCCCCTACCAGATGTCTCCCACCAGTGGGGAAAAAAACTCTAAGCTCCCGATTAGTCACCCGATATGTGAAGTGCATGTTAGTGTAAGTGTGTGAAAGAGGTGGGCAAAGAAGAGGAAGGAAAGATCGCGCGGTCCATGGCCCGTTTGTTAGAGTACAGCTCGTGCGTTCGCCTTGGGTTGATCAGAAAAACACGGAAACTACCGATCAGGCAGCCGACCGCTAGGATTCTCCCCCAGACTAGCTACGTAGTTGGTGTCGAAAACCCTGCCACCAGTGGGACACAAACCCTAGGACCTCTCTGTCAGAGGCAGTCCAGTGACATCAATTGGTGTCCTGAGCCATCGAAGCCGGTGAGCCATTTTGTATCCCACATTTTTGTTTGCTTGTATTCAACCTTTGTAGGTCACAAACATCCAGGCTCTAGTTATAATTGAATTGGCTTCCGTTTTCTTCTACTTTTTAACTTCATTTTTAGCCGGTAATTTATTGTTCGATTTAAATATAGTGAGTTGTGACAGATTATCAGCTGGATGACATTAATCAATCAGGACATTCACTGCGAGTTTAATTTTTGGTATTGAAACTCCCAATAGGATAACCGCGTCACAGCTGATGATCTGTCATAAATCACTGGATTGAAATCGAACAATAATTTCACGGCTAAAAATGAACTTATAAACTAGAGGGGAATGGAAGCTTTATCATAACAAGAGACCGTATGTTTGTTACCTAAAAATGTTGAATAAAATCATATATTTATGTTCTTTAATCTGATAGAGTTAGCCTGTATATATGACCTGTGGGGCATCAACTCTGTACACATATGACATGCAACAACATGACCCAAATCACACCTTCTAAGAGGTTATTCACAATTAGGGCTTAAAATTAGATGAAAAAGCAGGCAGGTTAAATTATTAAAACTAGAGCCCGGTTGTTTATGGCCTAATAATGTTGAAAATAAATATGCGTATATAACCTAAAATCTAAGGTGAAATCATTAAAAACTTGACGCACTTTACACAACACAAACGTTTAATATGCATCTGTCAATAGTTTATTACAATTTCGCCTAAGAAAACGCACGGATACAACTAGAAAGAGAAGTGCTTTTTAAATTATCGTAACTAGGGATCTTAGTGATTTTAAAATGTTGAAAATAAGCATTCAATTATAACACAACATATGAGAGAATATGACCAGTAATGCAATCTGTAGTGCGTAAACCCTGATTACATACACATGCCACACATAGACACACATAGACACCATGCCGCAGTTTCAAAAATGTGTGTATCTTTGTGTTTCAGTCCGGGAAATTTCTGTTGAAGGGAATTTACATGAAGAGCTCCTCGTTTAGGGTTCCATATAAAAAAGTGTTCTGACCTGGTCACAATAGCGCTGTGATATGTAGTCGATTACAACACAGAAAACATTCATTTTTCATTAACCTAGCAAAAAATATATTTTATTTAAGTGCAAGAACGTTAATGACTTTAAAACTCACAATATTTTTCATTGAAAACATTGTTGTGTTTTTGAGACGGCATGTGACAAAGGGTCTTTTAAAATAAGGGCATTATTTTAAGGTAGGCATACTTGTTCACTAGTGACAAATTGCATCTAGGAAAAATCATATCTCTTAACTTTATTACGTGATAATAAATGAAGAAGAAACAGTAAGACAGTAAAATACTATTTTGACTCTTTTTATATCTAAGTGTAAAAAACTGATAATTTTCTTACCAAGTGTGACAATCTCCCATAATAGAACTCCAAAACTCCAGACATCGGATTTGTGTGTAAACACTCTGTGAAGTAATGACTCAGGTGCCATCCAACGAATAGGTAATGCTCCCTGTAAAAATCACAAAATGTATAAGCTACAAATAATATTTATATACACATTTTTATGTATGGTAATTATTGAGATTTTATTATTTATTGCTTATAATTGATGGAGTTTATGTTTCTTCGAGTTTTGTTATTTTTCAAATTTGACTAACGTTTTTCAAAAAAAAATTTAGCAAGGATTAATTTCTTGAAAATAGACTTTTGTTTTAAATGTTTTATATGTGATTCTTCAAATTTGAATTGTATTATGAATCATTCTCGGATTCAAAGAAGAATTTAATAAGTACTATTTCTGTGATAATTGGAAAAAATTCAATTTTGAAAGGTCATTCATAATTTTCAATTTAACCAACTGGGGAAAGTTACTATGTAAGAGAGAAATATTTGCACGTAAATCGCCAGCTGGTCTGTTTTTCCATTTCTATACTTCGAAAACCGTTGGTATTAATTATATATTGTAATAATTTTGATATAAATATAACAAAATGAAAATGATATCTGTTTAATCGTAACTCACATTAGATTAATTATTTGATACTTCAGTGACAGTAAGAGTTTACTATTTGTCCTACGGCATTTACACTCATAGCTTTCATCTCGCTTATGTGCCACATGTGGTGAAGAATAGAATAGGCTCTTCCTTAAAACATCCACTAGTTTCTAAAGTATTACTCATAGAAGTTCCTCCGGAAATTGCCTGTGCCATCTATTTTTAAAAATAAAATAAAATGCAGCAACTTTTTTGTTCCCTAGGTTCATTTGTGGCTAATTTACTTGACGTGGTGGGATAGTTGTTTTTTGTTACTCTGAAATGACAGTGCCAGCTTTCCTCTTTACTACAGTGCACATATTTCTTCTGTTCTTCCCATATTACCGTTGAAGCGTTTCCTGGCAAGGTCAAAATCCGCTGCGAAGGCGACTCCACTACTTGGAAGCACAGAGTTGCTTTTAGTTATTTTGTCAACTTGCTTTTAGTTATATTTAACAAACATCAATATTCATTCTACATTAATTGTACAGTGTGTCCTATTGGCTAAAAATGTATTAATCTATTATGGGACTAACAGAATTCGCATTAAAAGCCCTTGAATAAAAACGATCGAGGATTGCATTACGCAGTTAGATTTAGAATTAAAATGAACTGACTACGCTAAAGTGTAGGACTATTTCATTTTTTGCTACTTTCTTTTTCAGTTTTATACTACCCGTGCATTTGTTTAGTATTTGATATGCCACTTGTTTCGAGAATTAAACATTTTATAAAAATTTCTGTGCAGGGGCAATTGCCGTATTAGTTAATTCAATGTTGCATTATATACAGTTTCGAGTGAATTCATCTTAACTTCAAGTTACAATATCAATCTTAATCACATCTACCGTCTCTGTGTACCTCTCATTTACCTGGTAATATGAAGTGGCAGCTTTGCCACGCTTGAAAACATCCATGCATTACGTGGCTATCGAACTTACACCATTTTGAATTCCAAATACTCTCTGTTGTCTGCCTTTACAGTGTAGCATTTACTATTAATCCTCGACTGTCAAGCTTTTACCTTCTGTGCCTTTTACTGACTAGCCCTCTCCCGCCTACCTTTTTCCGTGAGCCTTACTGTATAGCCTTCACTGTGTAGCCTTTAATGTCTATCCTTTATCGTCTATCCTTCCCGTCCTTCCCGTCAGTACCGACAGTGCTCGGACAGCCCAGATCATGACTCTGTCCGCGATAGCCTACATCATTTACTCCCCTTTCACTAGATTCCTGTATCCCTCCTCTATCGGATTTGCGAGCAGTGCCTCCCCTCCAACCTCGATGACTCAAAAACGGCGGGACTCAGTCTTCGCTCGTAGCTAAGCGCCGGTACGGGGCACACCAAGTGAGCTGCCCACTAGAGCAGCCCTACACCAAACTACCCAAGACGGCGTGTTCACGTGTGTACAGGGCCTTGCAACTCTCCATCAAAACAGGGAACAAAGCTGGAGAGTGCTATGATAGTGTCGCCGAGTGCAGCTGCTGGTTAGGCTCGCCAACTTTCGCATACAGAATTTGGCTAATTTGTGAGAAATACGATCAGTATCTCCTGAATGTTTAATTATTCATAATATGCACATATAAGAAGCATGTGAAGAAATTTTGAACATCAACGCCATCTTTTGTAACGTTATGGGCCTGCTTGCGTCTGGCGAACCCACGTAGCAGCCGCGCACGTTTTGAGTATCGTCGGCAGCAGTTCGTATTTTAGTTGGTGTAAGAAGGTGCTGCAGGGGAGCGCGCCACCGTAACGGTTTCCACCGCGTGGTATGGGAGTTGAAAGGAAAGGCCTGACTGTGCAACGAGGTACCTTGGTCCTCCTCTGCTCGTACACGTCGCCCTGCTCGCGCACGCTGCGCGCCATGCCGAAGTCGGCGATCTTGCAGAGGCGGTTGTGGTCGACGAGGACGTTCCTGGCGGCGAGGTCCCGGTGCAGCACGCCGCGCGCCGCCAGGTACTCCATGCCGCGGGCCACGCAGTACCCGAACACGGCCAGGTCCCGCGCCGACAGCGCCGTCCCGCCGTCCTCCTCCCCGAAGGCGTAGCGCGCCGCGCCGTCGCCGTCCCCGACCCCCGCCCGCGCCGCCGCCGCAGGCTGCCGCCGCCGCCGCCCGCGCCGCCCCCGCCGCCCGCCCGCGCCGCCCACGCGCCGCCGCGCCGGCCCGCCGCTGGCGGTGGGTCGCGCAGGAAGGTCAGCAGCTTGCCGTACATCACGTACTCCAGGATGAGCAGGTAGGGCTCTGCAACAGGAGACATGCGCGCGTTGAAACCCATCGCTCGTGTTGTCGTTTGGTGTCGTACATAAACAAAATCGCCGATTGGAGTTAAGTGAGAAAACATATTTTAGGAAAAATTTCATGTTGACATTTTTTAATCCCATTCAGTTCTTTATAGGGCAGAATTGAGACATATCGATGTTTAGAAAAAGTGTATTTTTAATATATTTTAAATTTATTGCTACTTGCAAGGCATTGCTGCCTTTCAAGGGTGTTAACATATGATTACTTCACTAATCATGCTCATGCCCAAACCAATTCACTTTCAATTGGCGATGATTATTTCATGAGATACTTAGAGTAACATTTGTATTCATTAGGTGATGTGTTGTTGTAATGGTTGTAATATTTGATAAATTGGGTTTTAAGAGGGTGTGAAAGTGTATTTGAGGTACCCTGAAATTTCTCTGCAAATGTGTTGAAATGTTTGACCTATTGATTATTGGATGAAATTCATCGCCATTTATTGGATTCTCTGGACATAAAATAATAATTATTACTTAAGGATTACTATATTGGTATATAGTTGATTTTATTGTTAATTTAATTACAATGGAGGGAAAATATAAATTTTTTATGATTAATCTTTAAGTTTTGCATAGGATGAAGTCATTTATTCGTAAAAGTATGTGTTATTAAATTTTATATTTTAAGAAATGGAACTTTGGTCAAAAAATATCTTTCAGCATTAATCAATTAGGAGTAAATTAATATAAAAAATATCGACGAAATATAGAAATACTGAAATGATTAGGATTTAAAATTTAAACTCGAGAACTTTATTTACTAAAGTTAACGGATTTAAAATAGTTTATAGAAACGTTCTTAAAATAAAAAAATAATAAAAGCAAAATCCCTAAGGTTGTCGGAATTCGAGATAAATGAAAGCAAAAGCTTTCTATGAATACGAGACAGATAAGTTCAAACCTCAATAAATTGTAGCACCAACGCAAAAAGGAGTTACAAGAAATGATAGAACACATAATTAATAATCTATTATTTATATTTAATATCATTTTACTCCTTGTACAGCATTTAAACAGCTCCGAAATCAATTATCTCGGTGTTAAACCGGTATTGTAAGGGGATGTAGAAGCATCAATACATTCTTAGTTTGATTTGTTGGAGAAATGGAGCAGTAAAATTAATTTTAATAACACTTGATAAAACACAGACAAACTTCTTTACCGTATTAAATTCTTACGTTTCAAGATATTCAGATGTTTCGTGTAACCATTTAAATTTACTGGTACATATTTTTGGATTCAAATTGAAATCAATTGGAGTGGATTACCATCTAAACAGTGTTCCTTGAATATTCCGAGATGAAAATTGAGAGAGCGTGACTGAAAAGTTGTCTTGAGGTAGCAATTACCTTCCGAATTCTCTTCCGTTTAGTAACCTACACTTCCGAGTTTTGTTACGTTTATTATTCAGGTCAACGTCCAGAAATACGGATGTGAAGCACATAATTCCAATTAAAGGAATACGAAAAGTCAAGGCAAATGTTCTTGACCGTATGAATCTGCCGTTACAGTTAGTTGCATCTTAACTTCCTGGTCTTGTTAGAGCTCAGAGTGAGTAGTTGCTCTTAGACTTGACAACAGCAATCAAAATAAACCAGTCGGTTTTAGAGCAGTTGAAACATATTGTTTCCTAGATACATATCACTTTATTGATCTCTTCCTCTCGACCTCGTGAGCCGTCGTGAGCTTCGTCAGCGTGAATCTCAGGTGTGAGAATTCGCTGCTAGTTCCAAACATTTTTTTAAGTACGTGGGGAGATGCAAAGCGATGTAGTGGTCATACGTGACAAGAACGAATATTCTTCTGATGTTGAATCTTATTAAAATAATTGGAAGCGATATTTAACTGTATCTCCTCAAGACTTCGTCGTTATTTTTAATTGTAAAGTTACATTTATCTTCTCCGAAAGAGCTGTGTACTTCTTCCTGCGATACGGATCGACCAACTTATAAAAAGCCGTCTCCTTTTCTGGTTAATTCCTTAACTTTCCAACTCCGTTAGAACCTGGGGGAGTCTGGACAACAGCGCTGCTCATAAAACACAAGTTTTTAGCGCAATCTCACCGAAAGATTTCCTAGATACATGTCCTTTTACTGGCCATTTCCTCGCAAGTGAGCGGTCCATGTTGTGTGCACACAGAAAGTCCTGACTTCAAATCACGACGAAGTGGCATTCGGTGGAGGATGCGGGGTAAAAGTCAAGGCTAGATCTCGCCGGAGGCTTTTCTCGGAGGTAGATTCAACGTATTTTCGCATTATAGAACGTATTTACAGCTTAAGGGTGCTATATTCAACCATGTCAGGGAATAGAAGGCAATAGAAATAAGTGTTTAGGCCGCGGCGGGATCGGAGTCGGGGGTGGCAGGGACAAATCGCAACGGAGGTGGGCGCGTGGGAGAGGTGTGGCGGCGGAGTTCGAGACGAGAGAATGGAGGCGTGGCGGCGTTGGGGTGGGGATAAGGGGGGAGACAGAGGAGATGAAGGCGGCCAGTGTGAGGAGAGAGAGATAAAAAATATCGTGATGGCTAGGGTTGGGGCGAGGATGAGAGGGGGGAAAACGAAAAAAATATGGTGACGAGGGTGGAGGCAGGGGCAGGTGCGAGGCACAGACGAAGAGGTGGAGGTGGAGGAGATGGATGTGGAGAAGGTGAAAGCAGAGGATGTGGAGGCGGAGGAGGTGGATGTGGAGGACGTTGAGGCGAAGGGTTTGAAGGCAGAGGACATGGAGGCGGAGGAGGGTGAGGCGGAGGAGGTGGAGCCGGAGGAGGCAGTGGCGGTGGCGAAGAAGGTGGAAGAGACGGAGGAGGCTATTGGGGGAGGAGGAGACGGAGGAGGAGACGGAGGTGGAGACGGAGCAGGAGACTGAGGAGGTGGAGGTAATGGTGGAGACGGACCTGAGGGAGAGGGCGAGGTGGAAGAGGAGGCGGAGGCGGAGGCGGCGCGGAGGAGGTGAAGGCGAAGGCGGAGGTGGACACGGAGGAGGGAGACGGAGTTAGTGGGCGAGACGGAACTGAGGGGGAGGTGGAGGCGGAGGCGGAGGAAAGAGGACGGAGAAGGTGGAGATGGTGGTGGAGACGGACCGGAGGGGGAGGGAGGGGTGGCGATCGCAGAGCGTCTTGGCGAAAGCAGCCCAACCGGTCGCATGCCGCGGCGCGGTCGCGGTTTCCGCTTCGCTTCGGCCGCTGGGGCGCGGCGGCCACGTCTGCCGCGCTGATCCCCGACTCACGCACGCGGCCCGCCCCTCCCCTCCCCTTCGCTCATCCCCCTTCCACGCAGGGGTCAAGGCACTGGCGCCGCAAGGGCACCGCCGCGCATTTAGCGGACGGACATCGCGCATCATGATCAGTCAACAGTGTGAAGAATGTGGTTAAATATAGTCTATAATACGAAATTATTATTATTATTACTACTATTATTAATAATAATAATAATAATAATTACGTGCTATAGACTATATTTAAATACATTTTCCGCACTGTTGAATGATCATAATATAATAAAAATATTTCTCTCTCAATCATATTTTGTAAATGAAAGTTTTATTTGGCTTGTTTCTGTAATACATTCCGCCCGAATGGACTTTGCCTTACCACCTCCCTAGGAGGGTGGTATACCTCGGTGTAGAAGAAAAGCAATGCATGTAAAACAGTCTCATTTCGAAGGGAGGTGGTTTCATTTAGAACAAAGTCTTTTATTTTGCGGTCAAACACAAAAGGTTTTGCTCTGCAACTAGAAGAGAATTCTAGCGACCGTCTACTATAATCGAAACATTTCCATGATTTCTCGAATCAGTACCAGGCGAATGTTGGAACAGAACCTTAGCACACTGGCCACGAGTCGGACGGTCTTTCCTTTCTCATCCGTGTCACTTCCTCTGCTCTAAAATACAAACACTTCTAAGTGTCATAAATCATCAATTATTTTCATTGATTTGAAATTGAACTATGTAATTGAAACATTTGAAAGGGTAAATGTATTTTTTTAATTTGAATAATTAAGCCAATGATTACCTAAGTGAATACAAAATTAATTCAGCAAATTAAAACAGAATAGTGTCTATGTTACAAAATTGTTAACATTTGCTACATTATTAATTAATTTTTAATTAAATTTTTTTGATTTGTTTTTCTTATATATTTCTCATAACAGACAATGTATTAAAGTCTATAAACTTGTCTACATAAGTATAACTGACGATTTAGAGTTTTATTGAACAGTTAATCTTAAAACACGGTCGTTGCTAAAATTTAAAACCAAATAATTATAACTTTAGTTCAAAACAAAATAATTATAACTTAAATTTAATCCAAATTAAAATGATCACTGATTGGTGTATATCTACGTAATGAATTAACAAAACTTCGCTGTTAATGTTACCAATCTTGTGGTACATCGAGAAGAGAAACTTCGAGCAAAAAAAACATGAATTGATTTATAATACTTCGAAGTCGGTATTTACTTAAAAATGGTGTGAATGTATTGTCCTGGAAATTATCAGTCATAAATTGACTTTCGCAATTTAATGTCGCAAAATGCAACGATTCCGGTCTTGTGAATGATTTACCGTAAATATGTAAAGTTATGAAATTTCATCTGATGAAGTCAATCACGCGTGATTGATCAATTTTCTGGCTGGAGATGAAAAATATCACACGGAAGACGAAATCGATAGCTGCTTTTAGTGGAAAATGAGTGCTAGTGTGACCCGATATTCGATACTTTAACCTCAAAACCGCTGTGGGAGTGGTTAGTTTTTATATCTTTTCGAATTCGGAAACGAATATTTAGTGGCTCTAGCCATTTAGAATAAAATTATGATCAAGATAATTAAGTTTTTATGGTACTGTATCATCAATTGTAAATAATTTCAAGAGTTTCAATACGGACTCTGAGAAAAAAAATAAAGTAAACCAAAATGGAAGCATTTTTGAGAATGAAATTTCTGAAACAGTATTGATGATACAAGCAATGTATGTTGTTGAACTATGTTGGGTAAATTTAATGATTTATTTTCTTAGAAAAACACATTAACGAAGAAGATACAACAACTAAATTTAAAGAAGCAAATAAAAAATACTCATGAAGGGAATGCTGTCAGTATAATACCTATAGTATAAGCCTACAGTTAAAATATAACGAAGGAAAATATAGATGCAGGGAAATTATTAATAGCAAAAAATTGACGTATTTTGAAATAATATGAGATACCTGATGATCTGATATGTATGTACAATAATATAATGCGTACTCTTATAAAGCTGGAATACGTCTTGTATGATTCCAGTTCAAAAGAAGTGCCAAGCATAACTGTTACATCGGACTGTTTTAATTTGAAAATAGTGTACTGTATACATTCTTATCTCCTTTCTCGTCATTCACTAGTCAAAAACCGAAGAACGCAAAGGTTGAATCATCTCAATTGTTGTTCCTCGAGTCCGCTGAGTCAGAAGACTATTTTCAGAAACAAGGCTGACTCGTTTTTAGCAACGAGAAATATTCTCCTTCCAACGCATTCGCGGGAAGGAAGAAAGAAATTATACATGACTGTTACAAGGCCAACATCACGCTCCTTTTGTCTGGTCCGTCCAGATATGCGTGCAAGGCTAACTAGCTGCATAAGTGAACCTATGATATTTTTTGTTCAGCGACTGCAGCATGTTAAAGTTAATTAATATTATAGTGAGTAAATTAAATCCCGTAGACGAATGATATTATTTCAATGGACAAAAGTAATATGGACGTTGTCACAGCTGGATTTGTGGTTTTAGACGTGTCTTTGACGATTACGTCTTTGAACTTTTTGAGTATTTACTGTGTTGTAAAAAATTCTTCTTTGTATTAAATTTCTGTAAACACACTTATCTTGCTTAATTTGTGCAACTGACTTGTAGTTCGAAGTAAGTGAAAAAACGGAGCGTGTTTGTTATGATTGCGGTTTTGATATTTCCCATTATATTAAGCTTGTATTACACCCCTAGAGCAAACGTGAATAATTTTTCCTAAAGATCAGAACTTAGCATCCTAAGAAGCTACAAAAAGAATTTCCTAATGTGATAGGACTTCTTTTTAAACCCGTTTTAAAAATAACTATTGCCCTATTACATTATAGAATTATTTTTCTTCCTCCTTGGAAATTGAAATTAAGTTTCAGGAATTCTGGTTAAGGCGGGAATGAATAATGTGAAAGAATGAAAATTTCGAAAACGAGGTATTTTATATGTTAAGTGAACTATTATAATTATAATAGTAATTATTTATTAACCCTTATATGCCCATTTTAATAAATAAATACTATTATAGTTAAAATATTATACTATATTTTTGAAATACGTTGTTTTCAAATTTTTGCAGTAGTTAGCATTATTCAATGTGACCTTAACCAGAGTTCTTGAAATTTTATTTCAGTTTCCAAAGAAAGAAAAATAATTACCTAATGTAATAGGACTACAGTTTTTTTAAACTCGTTTTAATAAATAAGTACTATTGCAATTATAATAGTACGCTTTATTTTTGAAATACCTTCTTTTCGCCTTTTTTTGTATTTGATATTGTTAAGAATTACCTTAACCGAAATTCCTGAATTTTAAACACAAATTTCCAACAAGAAAAAAAACAACTTAATGTAATAATAGTTTTTATTCCCTTTTAATTAATTAATTCAATAAATAAATAAATAAACAGTTAAATAAATAAATAGTTAAATAAATAGTTAAATAAATAGTTAAATAAATAGTTAAATAAATACCATTAGAAATATAATAGTATACTTTGTTTTAGAATTACACTGTTTTCGATTTTTGGTGTTTCACATTATCCAAAGTCACCTTAACCAGGGTGCCTGACACTTAATTTCTATTTCCTGAGCGTCGCCGCTCGTTTGCTTTCGTTATCTGCCGTTCGCGCGTGGGCGGCTGGCGCTCGCGCCGGTGGCGCCAGGCGGCGGCCGGTGAGGAGATCGCGTGACCGGAAGCGGCGCGGAGCAAGAAGCGGCGCGAGTTTCCCTTCGAGCCTCGGCGGCGGCAGAGCAAACGCTCGCCAAGCGGTCGCACGGATGCGCTCTTTCATTTGCTGCATTGTCCTTGCGTCGTTTTGTGAGAGAGTTAAGAACGAGAATGAGAAATGTCAGAGGGATATCAGATAGTATGAGGTGAAGAAGGAGAAACAAGTGAAGAAGATAAAGAAAGAGGAGGAGATTAAGAAGAAATAAAAAGGACCAGGAAGGAGATGGAGTAAATGAAGAAGGAGAAACTTAAAGAAGAACACCTTTATTATATCTGTAGTAATCATACAACATAGATAATTATCTTTCAATTGTGTCCTCCCCAGAAAGAAAGAAATATATTCCGCATGTTCTTACTTTAAATAAATATGTGCTTTCAAATAGTGTTTCCGAGTCGCAAAATAATCGCTTCATATTGGATTATTAAAACATTAAATTATTTTTAAAATGTTTAAATAAATTATTATGTAAATAATGAAACAGCTTAATGTACTCATATAAGAATTTTGAAAAACTTGATGAAGGAGAGTAAATTAATTGTAAGCAATGTTTGGGTATATTCAGTTGTTTTCTAAAGGATTTATAATCGTTTAATAAATAAAATAGTTTATTTTTCACTGTGATAAGAAACGACAAGTAATTGTCATTATGAGTACTGAAATGGTATCTAATCTTTAACCTCATTTTTTTGTCACGTAATACCAAAGTGAGAAATGGTTGCATTTAGAAGTTTTTGATAAAATATCAAATTACATTAAATACATTTTCGATAACCGTGAACAACTCCAAACGTTAATAATTACTATTTTGTATAGCCTATAAGCCGTGCTCACGGCCCGTCAATATCAGAGACTCCCCCGAGACCTTGAGATTAGAATGTGCGTCTCGAGACAGCGATTTTCACATGTTTTCTGTTCCCACGTGTTTCACGCATCGCCAACGCGGGTTCAGGAGGCCATGGAACCGGAATACCCGGGTTCAAACACGTAGTAAAATTGTTATATCCGGGATAGCGCACAATACAAAGAGAAGATGGGTTAGAAGAGAAAGCTAGAAAAAAACGTACAAACTGCGAACCTTGAAGTTTGGAACAAAAGAAAGAGAAATTTGGTTATAAAACTTCGGAGTTTTACGATGGAAAATGTGCCGTCGCGTGCATCCAGGAGACATCGAGTCGGAACAATCGAAAGGGTGAATCTTTAGCTCCAGAAAGTGCACCGGGAAGAAACGAGCTCTCGAGACATAGTGAGCACAAGATGGATGTTACGGCATCCGAGAAAGAAAATGCAAGAAGGGAAATAGGGCAATTTTCCCAGGAAATACTTCTGCGAGTCGTAAAAATCTACGGAGGAAGAATGTTACCCACCACTGCTACGCTTCGAAGCAGATTGTGGGGTTCTGTTAAAAGAATAGAGATAAATTTCACGAGAAAAGAAAGATGGGGATTGCCATCGGGCTCGGCTCATGCGTGTTCTGAAACAACAGATCGATGCGAAGAAAAGAAAAAAAGGAAAATGCACGAGAAAAAACTTGCTAGTGGTGGCAGCTGTATGACGGACATTTCTCTACCACTTATTTCTAGGACTTCTCACTAGATTCTTCAAGATATTCCCAAGGTAAAGATTTTAGAATAATTGCAAAGTGTTAAGTTACTAGCAACGTTCGAATTTAATAAAAACTTCATGTTTCATATAAGTATACTTTTTAAACTTTTAATATTTATACTTCAATCCAATCCAATAGGTTTATTTCAAGTATATTTTGCAAGGTGTTAACTCAAAACTACGCATAATATTGTGGTTTTAGTACATTTTATTATCGTGAGATACAAGCATCCTTCCTTCACAAAACATCTAGCCAAACAAATACACCGTATCTCAATGCTCATACTTGAGTATCCTCCTGAATTCGGTATTGTTTACAGATAATTAAATTACTAAAGTTAACAATTGACTTATTCAGATTTTACCTTAAATATAAGCAAAATAAATTATTATCATTATGCATGCCATTCATGTTGATTTAAATTATCAACATCGACGTTGAATGTTATTGGATTGTTAAATTCCCAAAAAATCACATTATGTGTGAAACATAATTTTCTTTCACTAGAACCCCTTTAATTGACTACATAATGTTATATTTTTCTTCAAATAATTTCAGAATTTAAAATGTCTGAAATATTGTATCTGCCTCCCTGTTCTTTTGCAATCGTTCTCCCTGTATTCAGCTTAAGGGTTGAGTTACTGAAATAGTTATCAGTCGTTATCGTTTATTGCTTTTAACTACGCGTGACTAAAAATAACTTGTCTCCTTCTTCCTGTGTATCTTGTTTTCCCTTTTTTTTACAAAACCAGTTCAAGGAGCGTTCCTGTAACGGTAGTATCCACACGCGTCTTCGGGCTGATGCGAGTTTTCGCATCAATCGAAAAGCAGAGCAGAGTATCCACTTTCGGGGGTCCAGGGAGGGGGCGGGGCAGGTCCGGGCTGGTTTCGGCAGCGGATCCCGCGCATCCACATTCTGCTGCTTCCTGGTCGCTCACGGTCCGTTAAGAGCGCGTAGGAGCGGTGAAAGCAGAACTGTGTTAGTTTGTGGAATACGCGCCGACGGACGGACGTGGCCGCGTCGTACAGATATGATCGATTCACTTGCTTTCTGATCGGCTGCCGCTTTCACGTGCGGTGTAGATACAGGGAAAAGTTGAAGCTAAGTGAACTTTCATTACACACATTTTCTCAACCGTGAGGTATACTAACCAACATTAAACATTCCTTTTGAGGTATTTGAGATGTTATTAAAACAAGCTGCTTAAATATCATTTCATAATTACTTTCTCTACTTAAGAAGCTCACATACGCATACTCGTTAGGTTTCAACAAAATACGAAATGTAGAGCAGGTGTGTGGGTGTGAAGATCGCTTGATTATTTGGTTTGCGAGCGCGTCACCTGATACGGTCATTTAGTTCCGTACGAGTAATGCATAAATATCCGAGGGATGACGATGTTATTCCTCGCCTTGGACGTGGTATTTGGCGCGGACCTACCTGTCGCCCTGTAGGAGGTTTCTTCTTCAGGAAGCTCCTCAAGCACGCTACCGAGATGAACTCTAAGCTCAAAGCTGTTCTCGTGGAGGATATATCGCGCATGGTACATGATCCTCCGATACTGCTCCGGCATTCGCCTGATAATGTCCGAAGAAATCAAGAATATCTATCTACTGATCAGTGCAACCGGCAGCTAGAATTAACTTCCCGACAGACTCAATTAGACAGACTGAATTATCTATCTAACTTGTGGGGTCTGGGTGGGGATGGTTCAGCTTTCTGGCCTCTGAACACCCAGGGCTGGGTTTGATTCTGGCCGAGGTGCCCGGATTTTTAAAGAGCGTAAAATACGCAGTCACACTTGTGGCATGTGTATGCCCGGCCAGATTAAAACTCTCCGTTAATATTCGCCCTAGCGAGATTTCAATTTCTCCCGACAGTTCCGATATAGTAACTGACACCGACATCTGGTGGAGAAAGTGAGAGTCAAATTCCAGACGCATTAGTGGACTGCCCGCTAGGCGTTCGCTTGATAAAGTTCTCAGACCCGTGTCGGAGGTTGGCTTCTACAGAATCGTGGCCACGATTGGGTCGAAAACTCAAGGAAGGCTACAAGAAACCACCCTGAATAATCCATCCCAAGAAAACCCGCAATGGAATATAATTGCGTATATGTAATATAGGACCAAAGAAGAAGAATCTAGAGTCGAAATCGGGAAGAGACCTCTGGGACCACTCGGTCCGAGGCGGCGCAGAGCCGACAGTTGAGCCACGTACCTTGCTCCGTGCAGCAGCCGAGCAGCGTGACGACGTTGGGGTGCTCGCCCAGCGACTGCAGGATGGCCAGCTCGCGCAGCAGGTCGGCCTTGTCGCGCGCCGACGCGCCGGGCTTCACCGTCTTGACGGCGACGAGGCGCGTGGTGCCCTGGTGGCCCTGCAGGTCGTCGGCCTCCGCGCGCAGCACCTGCGCCAGCACCCACAGCGTCACGAACGGGGCCTTGCGGAACACCGCACGGGGCAGCGCCAAGGGGTAGGAGGGAGTTGGGGCGATAGTTATTATTATTGAAACAAATGAAAGGGAAAATACCGTTATATCGACATGATAGTTGTAAAATTGTAGCACGTATATTGGTAGTAGTTTGTATTGATTGAAACGCGATATAGAAATGATTTTGAAACGTTATACACTCTAAAGTTGAAAAACAGGCGTTAATTTTACTTACATATTGTAAAAAAAATAAGTTTGCTTGTGAATAAAAAAGAACAAAGCAGAAGTAATTAGTACGTAATTTGATAATGTTTCATTTTTCAGCAACATTTTGATTCAGAAATCTAAAAATATATGTTGAAAAATAGATGAGATCGAATTATTAGTGGCAGCCAATATATGCAGAACGATCGCCTTGAAAGTTTGGTGGACAGATTGGATGAGTGATGAGATGGCTGACTGAGGTATTAGGAGGCGAGAGCGCTTGTTTTTGACGGATGGCCGTAGAAAGACCGGAAGGTTGAGGTGAGCTAGTGACTCACCTGGCCGAATTAGTGTCGGCCTCGCTGGGAGGTGTGGGGCGAGATGGACGGTGGGAGGCTCGAGGAGGGTGGTGGGTGATGCAATTTGGGCGGTGATATCTGGTCAATGAGATTTGGAGAGAAATAAAGGTGTGGCAGCTGGGGAAAGGAAATAGGAAGTAAAGGCGGGGAGTGGAAAGTGTGAGGTGGGTAGTGAAAGGGAGAATGGGAAGTAGAAAGAAGGATAAGGAAAATGGGAAATGGGAAAAGAAAAGTGGGAAGTGGAAGGTGCGAAATGGGAAATGGAAGTTGAGGAATGAGAAATGAAAGGTGGGGAGTGGAAAGTGGAAGGAATGGTGGGGAGTGTAAAATTGATGATGAAGGATACGAGTTAAAGGTAGTGAGTGAGAAGAGAAAAGAAAATAGGAAGTGGAAGGTGGGGAATGGAAAGTGGAAGTTGGAGAACGAGAAATGGAAGGTGGGGAGTGGGCAGAGGAAGGTAGGGTGTAGGAGGTGGAATATGGGAAGTAAGATGTGAGGAATGGAAGGAATGTGGGAGTTGGGAGTTGGAAGTGGGGAAAGTAGGAAGTGAGATCCACAGAGTGGAAGCAGGAGATGTGTGTGGGCGAGTGCCTCACCTGCCCGAAGTTGCCCTGCCCGAGCACCGTCTGCAGGCGCAGGCGCGAGCGCGGAAACTCCCACCGCGTGTCCGTCGACACGCCCGCCGCCGCCAGTGCCGCCGCCCGCGCCGCCGCCGCCGCCGCCCCCGCCGGCTCCGCGCCGCCCAGCACCTCGTCCAGCGGCGGGTCCTTTAAACGATCGACATTCTATTGAGGCCGACAAATCGACTAAAATACACCTTTCAAATAACTCTCAGGAACTAACAGGAAATGTTTTCCACTATATATAATATTCTATTATCAGTGTTGTAGATTGTAATGTAAATAATTTAACGTATGATGTAAACTGCAGTAAATGTTTTGATGTGAGAAAACGCAATGATTATAGTTTTGTAGTCAGTATATCCGAGAGACAGGCTAAATACAAGTGTAGGTCACGAATCATTTCTGTGTTAAAGAACTTGAAGATGTTTAAATATCCTTATAATTTGCTCAACGTCGCAAACGTTAAAAACACGAATAAGTCTTTTGCTCCATGTTTGCTTTTTTGGTATGCCCCATTCTACTCAAATTTCTGAATTGTGCTCTTTTCTGCACAATTATTAGCATTCTAATCTTCTTGCGCTAGGTGAAAATTAAGTAACCTAGAAGTTTATCGTTAACGTATTACTTGTAAAGTACGCTAAAGTCGTTCAAGTACATAAAACGTATTCGTTATTTAATATGTCTAATCGTTGTGGTAATAGTTTTATATTGGCAACTAATTTTCATATAAACAGTGATTAAATAAATTTTATTCCAAATTTTATGTTATTGAAAAGAAAATTCCAACTTGTAGTACTTACGTCTTTTTTACACTAATGCGTGCGAGAATTCTTAACAGGTTTTGGTAAATTTACGAGAAAATAATTAATAGTACAACATTAATTATCTTTACAACATTCATGTATTCAATTTTTAATTGCAAATTGTATATTAATATAGTACTTTATTAAAAATTTATTGCAATTTTTAAAACATTTGCTCCATGAAATTAATCTTACTTTACGATCCCTGACAACAGAACAAAAATAAAAGAAGAAAACGCTATGTTCCATTGCCTATCTGTTCTCACGGGAGAGAGGCGACCTGCGATAAGCATATGTAAATGTTCCGAGCCCTTGCTCCGATTCTTCCGGTCCCACACACCACGCAGCATGCAAATGCAGCTTTGAGAAACCGGTTCGGCGTATCTTCTCGGCAGGCTTGACCACGGGTCAGGTGTTTTCCTCGTTTGTCCGTCACTTGCAACTTGTGATCTAATAAAAATAACGTTTTCAGCGCAGTAAGGAAGAAATTATGCCTGTTTTAGATTTATAACGCTCTTCCAGCACTTGTTGCAGTGTAACAAATGCTCATTCTTTCCCGGGATAATTGTTTTACGAGTGATAACTTCTATGAGCATATATTCCGGTGTGTTTTTTAAAATATTCATTCTCTTTTTTTATGAAAATAATTGGATTTAGCTATGAAAATAACTAGTGGATCGTCAAACTAAGCGTTATTAAAATGTTACACAATTTATTTTATTTAATAACAGAATCATAAAAGATTTATATGTGAATCGGGGATTTCATTGCCTTTTTTTGCGGAATCTTTTTATAACTTTAATGCTGAATTGCAAATTACAAATCGACGAAACTAGGAATAAGTTTCCTACATTTTTTCAAGTGATTGCACTAGAGAAATACTCAAGGACTAACCAGAAATATTGACAAAGATTTATTAATTTACTTTTGAATATCGTTTATTGAACATTTATCTGAATAAAAAATGAAAACACCATCTCAAAGATGAAAGAACGCAAAGGCATTCATACGTTTCGCCTACTTTAACCGTGCCTGGGAAACAATTTCAAAGCAACTATTAAACAGATTTACTCGCAACAAGAACCAAACGAACGTGGCATAAATCTTCATTTGAATCTCATACTCTTAACGATTTTCGTGCACGTACACTGATATGTGCTCGCGTGCGCTCTTTTGTGTTTCGTGATTAACATATCCCGTCCAAACTAGCAACAAATCCGACGTGGCGGCTCTGTTTCATTTCCATTTCGGCCTAATTCTATTCATGACATTCGTGCGTGAGTGCGTGCGTGCGTGTCGGTGCGTTGTGAGTAACGCAGTGCGTCGTAGGCGGCGTTCGGCACCTGCACGCTCCTAGCAGCGGCCTCCGTGGGCGCCGTCCCAGCTTTTGTGGGGCGAACTGGTCGCATTCCCATCTTGTGCGCAGGTGCGAAGCTGGAGGACTCAATGAGGCATTTGTGGGAAATAGTAGCAATGTTTCCGTAATCAAAATACACTATAATTATGTAATTATATAATGCTAATATGTTAAGTTTGAAAAGTTCTGGATTCTAGTTATATGTTGATCACACGTTTGGTCGTAGTGTGTGTGAGAGTGAATGGATTTGACTGTGAGTTTTCGTATTTGTAATGTGGTGATAAAATTTACCATTGAATCTTAACAAATGGAGATAGTTAAATAAATATCATTTTATGTCAATGGTTAAATGATAATACGACATAGGAGTACTGTACTCATGGATCGTTATTGGCTTTGTACATAAAAAAACTCTAAAAATAAATAAGGACTTGTAGTACAAGAAACACAAGCACTCTTAATATATTAATTTCACAGACACTCCATCTAGAAAAGTACGTATGGTTACACACACATCCAATCTGGGAGAACGGCAAGAAAAACATGAAATACGAGAGGCCTAATTAGATGATACCAAGCATAGATAGATAAGAAATTAACTCATGCAATAAAAACAGAATATTGAAAAGCTGCAACAGGAAAGTTGACGTATGGATAAACATATAGAAACGTCCACAAACGCACACATACACAAAACATCTCGCAAACAAATTCGTACAGTGATACTCTTGAAGACTCACACTCACAACTACACCCACTGGAAACACGCACAAACATACCTGCAAATAACCAGCAAATCCCACATACACAAATAAACTCCCACAAACCCCTGCCCACACACACACACACTCGCAATCATCCAAGTGATTACATACATGCTCATGCGTTAGACAGATGAAGGGGGCACTCACCGGGAGGGCGCGCGAGGGCGCGGGCGGGTCGCCGGGCGGCGAGGACAGGTGGTCGGCGTCGGGCGAGGACTCGGCGCTGCCGCCGCGGCAGCCGCCGCCCACGTCAGAGTACGCGTCCGACTCGTCCAGGATCTGCAACGCCACCACGCACCTCCAGCACATGCACTTTGCACTGGCCCACCCCTTCCAATGCAATGCCACGCTCTCTCTCTACGTATATGCGCCAAGGACAGTTTTGTACCTTTCGGAACAAAACCACCGTTCACAAACCCCCGTACGTGTTACACAGGCTTGCATGAAAAGGAGTTAAGACGAAACATTTCGAAAACAGCTGATTGTGGAATAGGAGAAGGGATGGGATAAGGTAAAAGGTATGGGCCAGACTAAAAGCAGGCGCATTTGTATTAACTTGCATTACGCATCCGCACAATGTATTATCGTGCGTAACGCAGAAACGATGCGTTTGAAGTCTGTAGTTCTGGATTTTCATGACCCTAAATGCCTATTTTTGATACTGTAATTCACCTTTCTAGACATTCCATACATTTATGATTGATAAAACAACTACGTACAACGAGTCATCAGGAATGATCAATATCACGTTTTAGAATGAAGCCAGTTTCACTAAAAATTTAGAGTATTCCACGGATCCACGTTATTTCTGTATCCCTTTAGCGGCTCCCCTACAAATAAACACATCTTAACAAATCATTCGGCAAAGAAAAAGAGTTTTTTAGAGTGGAGACAAATTTACTTTGCACTTTACGAATACGAAGAGTTTCTTGAAAATAGATTAATCTAAATCATTCAGGCATAAATACAATCCAGCCGCACGGTTGACGGTCTCAAACGTAAGTTTTGAAGTATAAGTCTGAATTACATTCGTCGTCATTTATTTTGGGACCCTGTATTACATTTTTGGTGCATCGGCTATTCCGGATCCTCCATTTTATAACATGGTGCTAGCAGCAAAGACAGCGCATAGCGCAGAATCTAAATGTCCTTCATATTGAAGGGTAGGTAAAAGCAAACACCTCGAAAGTCTTCTTCCTTCCTACGCGAGGGAACGAAGGTTGGGTTTCCACATTTGAATGTTGGTACAGAAATTATAAAATGTTCTATGCGTAGAAAAATAATAGAGAAAATCTTCACATTCTTATGTACGATCAACAAAATCTTTAATTTTGTGGATATTAGCACGAAAATATTTTCTCACGATTTCCGCAATACTATACTGTTGTGTACTGCAAGAATTCACTGAAGTAATGCAACATTTAAGTTCATTTTTATTCGGTCCTAAATAATTTTCAGGTTTGAAAACTCTGACATTAGACCCGGAAGTTTGTGTCGTAAGGCAGATTGAAGCATCAAGGGATATTTTACAATCTGCTCTCTAGACAATGTATTGTTCTTCTTCAATGATAAATGACTTGTACTGCTGATGAAGCAATACTTAACGCAGGGAACATCTTTCTGGGCGTGGGCGTAAGAAGAGGAGACGACTACGACACGATATGCGTTTCGGGAAAGGAGAACGTATAAATTAAATTCAAGAGTGAGTCACTGATGTGTTTAGAAACTCGGATTAGGCTGAAACTTGAGATGTCGTCATCTTAACAAATGATCAGGAGGATCAGTTAACGCATTGTAGCATCTTTCTTAACTGATTCTAAAATATGAATATATTTTCTATCAAATGTTCCTGATTATTTACAACATTGGGAAAACAATTTTAAACAACGGGGAGAATAAGCAATACGGAACTAATAAGCATATTTTCATCACCTCAGATCGTGGCGTATGATACTTAATCAAGACCATTTTCTTGTGATTTTGTGTTGGTTTCAAACAACAAAATGATTAGTAGTCATTGACAACTTTAGCGCTTCCATATGACTTCCATTTATCAATTCTTTATATTCCTATCGAAACAAATATGGTGACATCAATACCCTAATTAACCATGAATATCATAAGCATCTAGTTATAATACTTAGAAGTACTGAATTGGGAACAATAGATATATAACGTCTGAAGACGTAGCGTAAGACAAATTAAAAATACGTAAAACACTGAAAACTATATCCGTGAAATAAATACAGTATGATTTTTGGCAATTATGTTAGTAGCAAAAAACACAATTGCCTTTAAATTATTTTACTTAAACGAAAATAACGCTAATTTTACAATAAATTATTTTTGATTTCTTAAAAGAACACACAAATGATGACAAATCACTAAATATTATAAACGTAAAATTTGTACGCAATTCAAAAGAGTCGAGGAAAGAGCCCTTTACTCGAAAAATCAGCTTTTCGACAAAACCTGTCCAATTATGTCGGCGACAAGGTGCGTTAAAAATGTGGTCAATTAGCTTCATTATGAAAAGCTCCGCTCTGCGTGAGGACAGAACTGCACGCAAGAAAGTGGGCATCTTAATGAAGCTAAATAATAGGAAGCTTCAGAAACAAAATCTGCAACAACTCATACGAACCAAAGCTTGAGCACGATACATCTAGCCGGGATGTACAAAAGTCAAAACGGACTCAATGCTAATTTTGTGTGCACCTACCATTGATTATCACTTACGATCTCTCCTATACTGATTATTTCGTATTCGCGCGGATATCATTACATATATTGCATATTTAAAGATATTTACAAATAAGATGGTGAAGGGAAGTATAAATAGAACGCCGATTGACAAAATGGTAAGATGATCGATTTCAATACTGCTGTCGACGTTGCTTGGATGAACTGCAGGAATATATATATATATATATATATATATATATATATATATATATATATATATATAACTTATTAGTTAATCAGATTATAATAGAAGTGCGATCTAGATTATGGATTCCGAAACTTATCACAAAACGTAAAAGGGTTGAAGGGAGATTTTTGACCGAAAACCGAAACAACTCTTGACCTACATAAATGGAATTGAATCATGGTTAGATTCAAAACAGAGAGAGTTATCAATAAGCTGTAATAGACCTGAAGTGGAACCAGGATTGTTTTCAAGTGAGATTTGCTAACTAGTAGAAACTACATTTGTGAACACATATAAACGGTTTTTGTGCCACCCCTCCCTGGATGCGCCACTGCAATCAATGACTCTAATGCCTGAGAGGGAAGAAGATAACATGTTGGTTAGCGTATCCAACTTCCGACCCACGCCTCAGAACCTAAGGCTCATATTCATTTAAGGAACACTTACAACACTTATGGGTCATGATTGTAGGATAGGGTGTTTATCCTAACCTGAAGAACCATAGTTCGAATATTTCAATAATTTGTGACGGTTAGGGTGCCAATTTTTATCCGTCAATATTCTAATCAAGATGACTTCACCTCTCTAAATGCAGCGAAAAAGTGGAGCTTCAATTTCCATTTGCTCTTTGAACTGTGATGGTTGATAACGATGAAGTTTGTAAAGACGCTAAGACACCTATCAAAGCAAGTAGTCTTGTTGGCAGGTACTGAAAAAGAGAGGTTATCAGAAAAATCTTTTTGGGGGTATGTTAGGTTTTCCCTAGGTAAAAAAACCACAAGTGTTGGACTTTCCCGGTCCTGTGCTAACCCAGGAAGGCTAAAAAAACTGGTATTTTTCTGATTTTGGGGTTTGTTTTTTCTGTAGCTCTTTAACTTTGTCTTGTAGAAAAACGATTCAAATCAATTTTAAAGAGAATAAAATATCAACAACTTTTGTATGAAATATTATGTCGCAAACACTAGTTATCGAGCAAGATCAAGATTAAAGGAAACGAACTATTTTCTGTGTGTACTTTTGATGGACTTTTGTCATTTTATAAGCTTCTTGAAACAAATATAGGTATTATATCTAATATTATTATTATTACCCATACCAATTAAAAACAAAAAGAAATTAAAATAATGGCGGTTTCTTGGTCCTTGTGGAGTTAGCACAGAGACTGCGATGTCGAAAATTCGGAGTTTTAACTAGTGCTTGGGTACATACAACATACACAGAAAAATATTCGTTTTGTGACGTTTTTTCATGTAACCCCCTTTTTCAGTACCTGCCGACTGGAGTACTTGCCCAGAAAGATACATGCCTTGGCGTTTTCACATATTTCATCGAAATCCCAAGTAAACGAACATGGGATCTTCGCTCTTGCGCACCCAACCATCGGAGATCAGACTGGAGATGCAGATTAGAGCTTCACCTTCTCGATGCCTTCGATGAGATTAAGTCATCTTATTTCGCCAGATATCTCAATTAGCCAGTCATGTTAATTTGGCAGCTAGAGACCTAGATATTGGTGTAGAATGTGGACCCACCTTGCGCCTGCGCCTCAGCAGGAAGCGGGTGAGCGCGACGGCGGCCAGCGCAGCGGGCAGCACGCACGCCGCGGCCGCCGCC